GTTGTTCAGCACGCGCGGCGGCCCCAGCCCGTCGTCCACGAACTGGTAGACCGAGCGCAGGCAGCCGAGGAGCTCCCTCCTGACACTGAAGTGGTCCACCAGGTGGCCGATGATCCGGCGCAGCTGGGCGGGCGAGATGTGCCAGACCTGGCAAACTTCGTGCAGGGCCAGCCGCAGCCGCCACGTCCGCCGCGGCCTCGGGATGAGGCAGCGCCGTCGCCCTCGGATCTGTCGGCCGACGAGCTCGTAGTCCGAGGCGGGCTCCGCCTCCTCGTGGAGCAGGAAGCCGATGCAGGTGAGCTCCTCGCGCTGCGCGTGGAAGAGCCTGAGCGCGGCCTCGGGGCTGCCGCCGATGAGGTTGCCGTTGTCGACGTAGGGGGCGACGATGGCGGCGGCCCTGCCGAAGGGCGGTGGAGGCCCCCAGTCCTTGAGCGTGACTTCGGGGGGCCCCAGCCGCCGCAGCGCTCGGCGCGACGCCGCCTCCAGGCTGCCGTGGCAGAAGAACATCGCCCATCTCCAACCCATCGGCAAGCCTCCAAAACACGCCCAGAGGAGCTCGTGACCCTCCACGTCGACGACGGAGAGTTGCTCGTCATCGTAAAACTCAGTGACACCGATGTCCGAGGCCGCCGATGACACGCCCAACGAGAAACAAGACGCGACACTGTCCACGCGGAACTGGTAGAACCCATCCTTGAGGTCCATGCCCGCACACGAGAGGTCGAGCACGTCGATGCCCTCGGCGCCTTGACCGCACGCGGGTAGGTCCCCCGCGGAGAGTCGGCACCACTCCGACGACAGCACGAGGTTGGAGAGCGCACCTGGCGTTGCGAGGTCGGACTTCGGCGGCCGCCCGTGGAGCTGGTTGGTCGGCCTGCAGTCCAGGACGAGCCTGATCGCGTCGCCCTTCTTCTTGACGAAGAATGCTCCGACCCGGCAGCGCTCCCGTCTCCTCCGCGAGATGAGGCCCGCCCGGTCGAGACGGCGCACAAAGTCCCGGCGGGCCTCCAGTGAGCCGCCGAGCTTGGGATCCGAGTGCGGCACCACGGGGTCCACGATCGAGGCCAACTCCTCCGGCGGCAGCACGATGAACGAGTCGGGGCCCTCGAGGTACGGGCGGCACTCGTCACCCACAAGGTCCAGGGCATCAGCGGGAGCACCAGACCGATGCAGGACCGACAACTTGTCCGGGTCGTACGCCGCCACAGAGCTATCGTCGCCCACGTCGTAGATTGATTTGCAATTGATGATATCCTGAAGGGCCCCCTCCAGACTCGGCGTCGAAGTCCGGCGGGGGAAGGAAGTGCGCCACTGCGCGCCCGATGTTGTCGAGCATCCCGCCCTGCGCGGCGCGGGTGCTCTGAGAAGAAATGCGGCTGGGCAACTCGAGCGCGAGCGCCCGTCCCGGCTGACAGCTTGCCGAGGCGTTGAGAGACGCCACGGCCCTTCCCACCAGCTCTTCAGATCGCGCCTGCCGGCGCCGCCGCCGGGCCAGGTGGCGAGCACCACCTCCGCTTTCCGCCGCCTCGGGAAGGCGGTAGCGGACAAATGCCAGACCGCCATGATGACAGGGTCGGCCCCGGCCCCGAGCGACTGAAGCTGGCTGCCTCAGTCACTTGTCCTTCTCTTTGCCGCCTCTGGGCCCCCTGTCCGAGGGCCCCTTGCGTTGGTCCTCCTCCTCCTGGTACAACCTTTGCTGCTTCATGGCGAGGGCCCGCGACTTCTGCTCGTCCGCCGTCCACCTCGCGAACTTCCCCGCGAGGACGCCGCCCGCGGAGTCCAGCGACCTCATCGCCGTGAGAGAGGTGCCCTGAAACGCGGGGTTCTTGGGCGAGCGGGCCACCGCTTGGTGGATCTGGAGAAGCAGACGTGCACACATCTCCGCTCCCGCCAGCTGGCCAGCGTCCAACTGGTCGAAGGCGACCAGGTGGTGCAGCACCGAGAGCAGGTCCCTGTGCTTGAGCGCCACCAGGATCTGATCCAGTGCTCGTGGAAGCCCGTCAGGTCCTCGTTCGCGGCGCGGGCCGCGACCAGCACCTCCTCGATCGCCTGCGGGCCCTCGAGCGGCCAGTCGGCTGGCGGGGTCTCCTCCAAGAAGGCCATCTCTGCCATCGCATCCTTGAGCTTGGCGAAGCGGGCCCTGCCTAGGTCTCGCTGGATGTGGAGGATGCGGGCATCCCGCCCGCGGCCGCTGGTCTTCTCGCGCCACTCCTCCACATCCTGGTTGCCGACCCGCCCCGCATAGGTCCAGAACCGATCCCCGTTCTCCTCGACCTCGGCCAGGCCCGCGCTGCCCTTGATCACACCATCCTGAGCGCATTCCGCGTGATCTCCACCGGCACGATCTCCCCGAACTTGTCGTGCGCCGTGTCCGCGAACCTCCATTACATCGTCAGCGTAGCGGCCGCCGCTGCAGGACCTGTCGCTCCAGCTCCCGCTGGGCGGAGCACGTCCGCGAGGGCCGCCGCTTCCTGGCGGGCCGTCTGCAGCGCCGCCTCGTCGAACTGGTCGACCGTGTAGATGTCGCGGGCCACGCGCCCTGGGTACGGAGCAGCACGGGCAATCGGCACCACGAGGTGCCGCGAGAGGTCGAGGACGAGCACCTCCAGGTCCGGCGAGAACGCGATCCACTTGAGGTCGTCCAGTCGATGCGCCAAGACGCGAAGGTGCCATCTGAAATGATCGTCGTCGTCGAAGTTGATGGCCGCCATCGTCTCGTGGATATCCGGTGCTCTCGCCATGTCGCCAGCCTAGCACCGTGAGTCCCGTCAGCGAGTCCTCCGCGATCGCCAGGGCTGGGGCTCGCCCGTCGCTGGGTCCCAGGCAGCCGAGCCCGAAGACACAGAAAGCGACGAGGAGGTGGCCCGCTCGGGCAGGCCGAGCGCGGGGGCGGCAGGTCCGCCCGCCTCCAGCGCCGGCTGCGGCGCTCTCGGGCGGCGCCCTGGCCGCCGGCAGCCGGTCGTCAGCCGGCCTGCGAGGAATGCGAGCGGCAGCAGGCCCCAGCCGCTGAAGGCCAGCGAGAGCGACCAGCCCCCGCCACACGGCGCCGGGGCCGCTGGGCACTCCGCCGCCGCAAGCCCAGCCGGCGTGCACTGGCACACCACCGCCGGGCACTCCGCCGCGCGCTCTGGGCACGGCGCACAGCCCAGCGAGCACGCCGGGCACTCGAGCCGTGGCTCGCAGACGCAGAGCGGCGCCGCCGGCGCCGGGGCACGCGCGAGCCACCCGCCCGCCGATGCCGCCGGAAGTTCTCGAGCGAAGGCAGAGAAATGAGGGCTACCCCCGGCCATGCAGGCCTGCGGCTCGAGAAAAGAACTGCAGAAGCACTAAGATGAGGGATATACCGTGCAGGCACAAATCATATATATATATATATATATACACATGTATATACATGACCACCGCCTAGAGGGTCAGTTTCCGGAGCCTCGGCCGGCGGTGGGCATGGAAATATTCGGGCCCCCGGGGGGCGAAATACATCCATATCCACCGCCCGCGAGGGCACCAGGACGTCAGTTCCCAGGCGGTGGATACGGATAAATCCCCGCCTCGTAGACAATGCACTTTGGACAGGTTTGTCCGCGCGGATTCCTTTGAGACGCTGGACCCCGTATTGCATCGCGCGCCAGCTTATCGCTCAGCGCGCCAGAGAGGGGTATCCGGCGCCGTCACAGGAAGTCCGCACGGACCGAAAAAAATACCATACGCTTCGCGCAACCCCATCAACCCATCCGGAAATGAATGCCCGGGCGAGTTGCCCTGATCAGAGATACGGAGGAGCATGCAGTGGAATCAGGCGGTGCGGAAACCGTCGTATCCCAAGAAGGGGAGGATGGAGGAGGATTCGGAGGAGGAAGGGGAGGGGGACGGGAGGCGGAGGGGGAGGAGGGGGAGGAGGAGGAGGAGGAGGAGGAGGAGGAGGAGGAGGAGGAGGAATAGGCGGATGGAAGAGGAGGAGGAAAAGGAGGAAGAGGAGGAGGCGGAGGAGGAGGAGGAGGAGGAGGAGGAGGAGGGCGAGCAGAATGGCCAGAGGTCTTCAGGATGCCTCTCGGAGTCTCTTCGGATGTCCCTTGGAGCTTCCGTGACTCCTCTTGGAGAGTATTGGGGGCCGTTTGGCCGTTTTGGGGGCCTCTTGGAGGGGACCTCTTTGGGCACTCCGGGGAGCCTCGGGGGCCATCTTCGGATTTATTATGAGGGCCGATTGCCGCTTTGATGCCAGACTGCTGCGACCTCCCCCACGCCCCAGCGAGCCGTCGATCCATCCCCAGCTCTCTCCCTCCCGCCTTCTCGCCCTCACTGTCCCGTTTCTCCCCCTCTTGTTGCGTTTCCCAGTGTGATGAGAAAGAGCTCTGCGGTGCCCGAAGGCAGCAAGCCTCTGCTGATTGCTGTGGGGTCCGATGCACGACAGCAGGCGAGCGAGACTCGTCGTCTTCCTCCTCATCCCCTCACAACTGGCAGGGAAGTGGTCCTCAGGGAGAGGGGACCCGTGGGACCTAAGGGCTTAAGCGACCCGTCCTCCTCCTCCTCCTCCTCCTCCTCCTCCTCCTCCTCCTCCTCCTCCAACCCATCCTTCTCCTCCTTCTCCTTCTCCTCCCCCTCCTCCTCCACCTCCTCCACCTCCTCCTCCTCCTCCACCTCCTCCTCCTCCTCCTCCTCGTCGGGTCGCCTACGGCCCCTGGGGGGAAACCGTGAAAGGACCCGAGGTCGCCGGTCGCCGTCCACGGCCCCTTGGGGGCCCCTCCCTCGCAGGCGGCCCCCTCTTGGGTGTTGCCCAGGGTCTGCCTGGCCCAAGGTGCCCACATGACTCCTGGGGAGGCCCGGGTGGCCCTCCTCCTCCCCCTCCTCCTCCTCCTCCACCTCCTCCTCCACCACCTCCTCCTCCTCCTCCACATCCTCCTCTTGTTCCCCTGGTGCGAAAAAAGCTGGGGCACGTCGGGCCAGGACGTCCCACCTCTGGCAGCACCCGCCCCGCCCCCCTCCGCGCTCGCGGCCCCCCGCAGGAGGCCCGGCGCCTGGCGGAGGAGGAGGCGATGCGGGAGCGGCGGCTGCGGGAGAGCGAGCAGGCCGAGCTGCGGATGCAGGACGCCCCGCGCCGGGGGCGCCCGGCCGAGGCCACTCCAACATTGGTTGGACTGTGCTCGGCAACTGGAACATGTTCGGTCCGGACGAAAGGGGGGGATTGGCAAAGGGAGGGGTACGACATTTGCTGCATGCAGCTGGTTTCCGCCTCACCGAGGGGCCCAGTCCTCGATACATAGCCGCCTCCAGCGCCAGGAGGCGCTGGGAAAATCAGCTACTTGAGCTGATTCTCAAACCCCCTCTTTGCTATCCCCCCCCTTTCGCCCGACCCGACATGTGCAGTGCCAGCCCCAGACCCCCTCGGGTCGTGAAAAACATCACGACGGGAGGTTTTTATCGCCATCTTCGGCCTCTGGGGGCCCTTCCCGGGCCTCGGGACCGTCAAGCAACGACTGGGGATGAAGCACCGGTCCCGGGGAAGAGGTCGAGCCCTCGGGGGGTCGACGTATTGAAAGGAGCATGGCGTTGGGGGTCTGGCGTGGCGGCTGTGCTTCAATCCCAGGACATCTCCGAGGGTCGGGGGCGACGCGCGTGGGTGGTGCGGTATATTTATTGTTGTTCCCCGATGTCCCGGGGAAGCCACGAGAAGTGTAGGTCGGGGGCGGTAAAGAGGGGGGTGAGGAATAGGGGGGGTGGATCTCATGGCGGGGGCCATGAGATGTCCCCAGATTTCATGGCGCGTCTTCTTGTTTCATTACGTCCCTGGCCCCCCCGCTAGGCCGCGCACATGCCGCCGGTCACGATTTGCACCCACCCCTCTTGGACGCCCCTCTTGGCCGCCCCCGAGTACACGCCGGGGTCCCGTACACACCAGGATCCGCCCTCTGGTGCAGATCTCGATGCAGGGCCGCAAAAACACGTCGGTGTGTACAGAGTTCGATTACTTGTATGCATGGGATCAGGGACGTCTTCGGACGACGAGGCGAATGCCCTATAGACTGCTCCGACATGCCCGCGTACCTGATGGAAGAACAACAGGCGCAATGGCTATTCTCAGGATATCAGAAATCAGGAAAGAAAAACACACACACAGACACAGTTAATCTTCGATTCCCCAGAAATGGGAAAATATGGGAATTGGGCGGGAAGACAGAAACCAAGAAATTATGGGAAAATATGAGGGAGTTTTGTTATGTGTGTGTATTTATGTGTGTGTCCCAGGGCCCCTTCAGCAATGGCTATTCTCAGGATATCAGAAGCACAAACGCAGGTGGAGACGACTTGTGCAGAAGCCAGTTGGGAAGGCGACCCCCTCCGCCACGCGCGGCAGGCGGGCTCCAGCCCACCCTTCGCTGCTCCCTAGAGAGCGGCCGGCGGGCACAGCGCGCTCCGCCTCCGCCCTTCGCCTTCCGCTCCTCGGGGGCAGGCGGCAGGGAGAGGTGGGCTCCCCCGGGGCTCCGTCGGGAGGAGGAGGAGGAGGAGGAGGAAGAGGAGGAGGAGGGAAGAGGAGGAGGAGGAGGAGGAGGAGGAGGAGGAGGAGGAGGAGGAAGAGGAAGAGGAGGAGGAGGAGGACAGCGAGGATCAAGCAGTAGCGAAGCGTCCTGGCGTGCCTACAGGCCTACCAAAGGATGTTGTAAGAACCTTTTTTGGTTCCCACGAGATGTTCCGAGAACACTTCTGGCCTGGACTGTCTCGTTTTGGCACCTCGGGCGTATGTTCTAAGCACTTTGTTTTTTGTTTTTCGAACATGTTTGGGTTCTGAGAACACCTCGTGGTAGGACTGTAGGAATGCCGGGACGGTCGGCCCCTGCTCAACAGAAGGGCCCTTGGCCCAAGGCGCCCCCCAGGATCCTCGCGTCCCAGGCGGCCTGCGGAGCACCCCTCTCGAGGCCCAGAGGGCCCCCAGCTGCTCCAGGAGGGCGCGAGAAGCTGGGGGGCACCTTGGGCCGGGGGCGCTTCTCGCAACATCCGACTCAGGGGGGGAGGTTGCAGCGACCCCGACGAGCCAGCCCCTCTCGCCCAGGAGCGTGCGGATTCGCCATTGGGGGGTGCATCGCCGGCCTATCCGCGATGTATCGCCGATTCCCGCTCGATGTTCTCGCACCGAGCCAGTCCTTCCTCATTCGGGCACAGCCAGGACCCCAGGTAAGGGGACCTGGCTAGTAGTAGGGCCCCAGAGCCTCTAAATTGACTAGAACCACTAAACCAGGTCTGCCGTAGCTGGCGTTTTTGTTCGGGTGACGGCAGTTCCCGTTAGTGGAACGGGGTGGGGGGCCGTCCTCCAGTTCACATACCATTAAACCAGTCCCACTAAACCTAGTTCTTCGTCCCCATATCATATTTGGACTATTTTTGCATTGTCCTCCTGTAGAGGGACACGCCCGACTTAAGACTCGGCCGGATACGCCAAAACAGCCTTCAGGTCGGCCCAAGATGGCCCGAAGACGCCCCAAGAGGGCCCGCCAGCGGCCAAAGTAGTTATTTGAAGCATTGGCGAAATCAACACGTGTGTGTTAGTTCTTAACAGGCGTAGCTGGTCCCTCAAGGGCTCTCGAGGCTCCCAGTGGCAAGGTCCTGAAGAGCGCCCAGGACGGGTCCTGGAGGAGCCCAGGATGGCCCCAGGGGCCGCCGAGACGGCCCCAGCAGAAGGGGCCCAGATGGCCCCAGGAGCAACCGGGGGCAAGGAGCGGCACGACGAGACGAGACGAGGGAAGACTCGGCTGAGGTCGGGCGTGTCCCCCTACACTTAAAGTTGGGTCGGGTATAGCCAGGACCCCAGGAAAGGGGACCCGGTGAGTAGTAGGGCCCCGGAGCCCCCAAATTGGCCAGAATCACTAAACCAGGTCTGCCGTAGTTTGTGTTTTTGTTCGGGTGGCGGCAGTCCCGGTTAGTGGAAAGGGGCCTGGGGCGCCCCCCAGTACATACCATTAAACCAGATCCCACTAAACCCAGTTCTGCCCCACGTGGCCTCCTGGGCCTCTTTGGCCTTTGGCCCGTCTTGGGGAGGTTTGGGATTCCCGGGGGGGAGGGGGGGGGGGAAGAAAGGGTGGACCCCATGACCCCCCCCCCCCCCCTCCCCCCCCCTACCCCGGCAGAGCCACCCCGCCCCCCCTCCCAGCAGAGCTGAAGCTCAGGTTGTAGCTTTCTTAACTCACACGCCGGACCGGCGAAATTCCACATATACAAACATGTGTGTGTACATATAGATGTATGTGTATATGCGCCATGGGGGCCGTGGGCCCTGGGAGCGCGCTGGGATCGCGCCCGGAGAATGAAGACGCCCCCCGAAGGCGCCAAGAGAGCTCCAAGACCGCTCCAAGCGGCCTCCAAGAGAGCCCGAGAGAGGTGCAAGCCGCACGGTCTCCTCGCACAGCGGGCCAACGATGCCTGGAAGGATCAGGCGCTGATTTACATGTGTCTAGATATTCACCCGCACCTCGATTGAGCCAGCCCATATTGGACACGTAAAAATTGCATCGGCAGGCTTTTTCTCTGCCTTAGATGCTGTGTGGCGCTTCATCGGGAGTCCCGATGTTGCCCGATCAGCCAGACTGCTGCTGTCGGAGACCAAATTTTGTGTCGGAGTTCTCGTGCTAGATCGACCTGTGAGCTTGACTGGGCGACAGTCCCCGTCGTGCTTGTTCACGATGCCCCAACCGGAGGGGCTCATCTCGAGGTAACGTAGGGCGCACCATCCCGCCCCCCACAGCTGGTGTCCACCGAGCTTGGGAAAAACGAAGAATAACATAAACATCAAATCGGAGGTTGATAGACCTCTACCCTGACACGTCGATTAAGGAACTGGCCGTTTTCGGTTCGCGAGAGGGCGTCGCGGCCGTCGTTTTTGCGGATTCAGGTCCGTCGGTTTCGGTCCCAGGCCGTTTTCATTAAGGGGAGGTTTATTAAAGGGAGGTTTGTCCACCGCCGAAACATAACAACTCGGAGGTCCGCGCGGATTTCTCGGATGGGCGCTCGGGCCCGCTGGCGGCGCCTCTGGTGCCGCCCCTGGCGCGCTCCGCGCGCCAGGAAGCGGGGTCGAGCGCCGTTCCGAGAAATCCGCGCGGACTTCTGCGTTTGGATGTTTATGTGACTTTTGCTTCTCTACGGGCAGCCTGGTTCGCGCTGCCCAGACACTCGTGCCCTGGCGCGGCACGCTTCGTGGGTGTGCTCTCGCTGACGAGGTTCGCTTGCAGGGGGTGCCCGAGGGCGTTGTCCTTCCGCTTTCCATCGCCGCCCCGAATCGTCGACGGACAAAAGAGCCTCACGATCCCCTTCGACATTCGCTCGCGACTTGTTTGGGCCAGTGTTAAGTCGGGCGTGTCCCCTCTACAAGGGGAATAGTCAAAGAAAAGTCTAGAGACGATGTTTCGACTATGTTTGAGCATTGGGGGGGTATTGCTTGACTATTCTTTATTTCTTCGCCCAAAATCCCCCTGTAGGGGGACAGGCCCGACTTACAGTCAAAAACCCAAATAAGGACGCGCGACTCCGAACGAAGTGAACCCCACCCTCCCCCTCAGAAATCGTGGGGGGTAGGGGTAGGGTTATCATTTGGCCCCCTACTTTCGCATCCTGCCTCCCGGTCGCCCCACCGAAGGAGGGGCGGCGCGCCAAGGAGCAGCGGGAGCAGTGGCTGCAGGAGCAGCGGACGCAGCGGCAGCAGGCCGCGGGGGCGCGACCCGCCCACCCTCACCGATGCTGGCCGGGCCCAGGGAGGAGGAGGAGGAGGAGGGAGGAGGAGGAGGAGGAGGAGGGGGAGGAGGAGGGGAGGAGATGAGATGAGAGGGAGGAGGGGTAGCAAGATAGGGGAGTAGGGGAGCAGAGGAATGGGGAGAGATGAGTAGGAGAGGGAGGGGAGGAGGAGAGGAGGAGGAGAGGAGGAGGATGAGGAGGATGAGAGGATGAGAGGAGGATGAAGATCAGGAGGCGGTATCAGTCAGGAGGATGGAGGAGTAGGAGGAGGAGGAGGAGGAGCAGAAGGAGGGGGGGGGGATGAGTAGGCGTAGGAGGAGAGGGGAAGGAGGAGGAGGGAGAGGAGGAGGAGGCAGGAGGAGGGAGAAGGAGGAGGAGGAGAGGAGGAGGAGGAGAGGATAGGAGGAGGCAGAAGGAGGAGCATATGAAGGGGAGGAGGAGGAGGACGTAGATGAGGAGGAGGAGGATGAGGAATAGTATGCTGAGGAGGGAGGAGGAGAGGGGTCAAGTAGGAGGGTCTTCGGGCTTAAGAGACGTGGGTCCATGCAGACGGGGGTCCAGCCAGGGCACCACCGAGAAGCCAACAGAATTCCAGCGCAACCCCCACATTGGCTAGGCCCTGACCGATGAGCCGCCTCACTGGGCGGAGTCGGCACCGGCCCACGCGTCGCTCAGAGGTCTGGCAAGCCCTGCGCTGCAGCTTCATGTCTTGCATTTCGGGGACGGCAAAGAGGGGGGTGATGACTAGGGGGGGTGGATATCATGGCGGGGGCCATGAGATGTCCCCAGATTTCATGGCGCCTCTTCTTATTTCATTACGTCCCTGGACCCCCGCTGGGCCGCGCACATGCCGCCGGTCATGATTTGCACCCCCCCTCTGGGACAACCCCCCTCTTGGCCGCTCCCGAGCACTGCAGTGGTTTGGTCTCCTGCTGGCCCCGGTCTGCTCGACCCGGGTCAGCAGATCCCCGAGGGTTCAGTTGGCAACGATAGGGGGGGGGGATACCGATCTCTCGGCGACGTGTCGCCGATTCCAGGTCGATGCACACCCCCCTTGACCAGCCCCCCCTGTCGCTGTCCCTCGGGGGTCGGTGCACACGGTGGGTTCGCGTCGTAGCGACCCACGGCGACCCCGGCGCCGGTGTTCACAGTTGAACTCCGCCAGGGACCCAGGATCGGTTGTCGTGGGACGATCCGACGTTATTGGAAGCGGTCTACCGTGCAAGTCTGGACGATCCCCGCGGCGCGGGAACCAATTTTCGGGCCGGACGAAAGGGGGGGATTGGGAAAGGGGGGGTTACGAAATTTGCAGCATGCAGCTAGTTTCGGCCCCACCGAGTTGCCCATTCCTCGATACATAGCCGCCTCCGGCGCCGGGAGGCGCCGGGAAAATCAGTTACGTGAGCTGATTCTCAAACACCCCCTTTGCTATCCCCCCCTTTCGCCCGACCCGAAACTTGACGCTGGAGTCGACACGGCACGTGCCAGTCGTGCGCCGTTCGGCACGGCCGAGATGGGCTCGGACAGGACCCGAAACTTGACGCTGGAGTCGACACGGCACGTGCCAGTCGTGCGCCGTTCGGCACGGCCGAGATGGGCTCGGACAGGGCGAGGGCGAAGGCCGACGGCAGCTGCGGCCCGCCCTCGACGGGGCTGGCGGTCGGTGTCGCCGCGGACGTTCTGTCAAGGTTGAGGCAGGACGTCGCCTGCCCGGCCACGGCCGCTGTGCGAGGACAGCGCAACCCACCCCCACCCCTGGCCGGGACCCCCACTCTCGGCCTGGTGATCCAGGGGATCTGGCGTCTCAATTTTTTCGAGCCAGGCGTTTTCGTTTTTCTCGTCTGCACGCACGAAATGGGTACTGAAAGAATGGGTACAATGCCCAACACCGGATCTTGTTCATTTTGAACAGGGCTCGCTGTCCACGCCGCCGCGGCCTGTGTCCATTCGGGACAGGAGGCCGCCTGCCCAACAGCGGCCGCTGTTGGTTTGGGACAACATTTGCTGTTGGGCATCGTACCCATTCTTTCGGTACCCATTTCGGGCGTCCAAATCTCGGGCCCCGGGACCCTCTCAGATCGATCCGCCTCAAAAAATGACGCAGATAAATGGGTCTAGGGTTCCAGGCACGATTTTCCCACGGCGTCTCAATTTTTTGGAGACGTCGGATCTCAGGGTCGGCGTTCTGGAGGTAGGAAAGAGGTGCGCTGTAAAGGGGTGTGGTGCCAAAGCTGGATCTGGCGAGGTTATCTATCGTGGATCGCATCGCCATGTCCACGATTGGCACCACACCCCTTTCTGCCACACCCCTTGCCAACCTCCAGCGGTGTGAGGGCGGTGTTGGCCCCCAGGATCTCGACACCGCCCGCCAGCCAGGACCCCCTGGATCGCCGGGTCGGGAGCGGGGGCTTTGGCTGGGGCCGGGGGTGGGCTGTGGCGTTATCACCGTTGGCTTCGGACAACATTCACTCTCAGGCATCGGGCCCTTCTGTTCCGCACCCAGCTGGGGCGTCCAACGACTCCCTCGCTGGCCCTGCGGAGGCGTGTGCGGTGGGCCGGGCCAGGGCCGGCGAAGGCGCGCAGGGCTCTTTCCGGCGCCACGGCCTCTGCCGCAGGGGGCGTGGGCGCAGGGGCCCTTCCTGCGCCGTGCTCCACGGTCCCCGGTGCTGTGTTCCAGGTGCGCTGGCGGAGCTGTCGTCGCTACGTCTGTTGGCCAGCGCGGGCCCCAGCAGGCCATTCCAGACTGGATGTGCAAGCAATGTGCTCTGAGCTCTGCGTTGCGACCTGTGTAATGTGGAAGCTTCCCCAGACAAGGTTTGCATGTACGGATTCTTACTTGGCGTTCTTATTAGTACTTATTGAAGCTTCGCGTATCCACGCCAGCCCATCCGGGAACAATGCCTAGGGCCTAGGGGAGCTGCCCTTGTCGGGGCAGCGCGGCATCGTTTGGATACCTCGGGGATTCTCATTGAACTAGACGTTTGAATGCCTCTCGGGGTCGCCGCTTGGGATGTCCCCGAGGAGCTCTTGGTGACCTCTTAGGGCGTCCTCTTGGGCGCTCCTGGGGGCCTCTTGGAGCGTCTTGGAGGCCCCTTGGGGCTTTCTTGGGCCCTCTTGTGGGTCTTGGTGGCTTTTTTGAGACAATCTTGGAGTACATCGGTCAAAGAGGAGGGGGTCCCCAATTAGGGTCAGCCGTCTGGAACCCCACAAATCGCCTCTTGGCGCCCTCTCGGGGCGCTCTTGGTGCACTCTTGGGCACTCTTGGGGACGTATGGGCTGCCCCTTGCGGCTCCTCTTGCGGACCCTATTCGGCCAATCTTGGGGCCATTTGTGGGCTTCGGGAGGCCATCCGGAGCGAAAATATGAGAAAGTCGAAAACCATTGATTTGCAGCAGGCGTTGGAAGGATTTTGGCCCCTGGGGGGCGTCCTGGGGAGCCCCCGAGGCCACTGGGACACGTCTTGAAGCTGTCTTGGGACCTCTTGGAGTATGTTTGGAATTCGCCTTGAGCGACCTCGCGTTGTCTTGGGCCATCCTGGATGCCATCCTGGGCTGTATATGGGGCCATGTTGGATCCGTCTTGGATTATCTGGATCCCTCGGACCGGTCGCCCCCCCCCGTCCAGACCCAGAGGGAGACCGGGGTTGGGGGAGTGGTCGAGCTTCCCCCCCCCCGAAGGACGGCCGCGTCGCTCACTCCCGCCCGCCCTTCCACAAGAGAAGCACTCGAGTCTCAGCATGGGCAGGGGCCGCCATCGACCACGATCGGGAACCAATGCAGGCGCGAGCCAGGCGCGCGATGCTTGCGAGGCGCGCCGCGCGTGCCAGGGCACCCCCTATCATCACATTCGAAGCGCACTGCAGAGCCATCGCGGGGCTCCCGAGCATGACGACCGCCTGAAAGTATATTTCGCAGTGTTTTGCGACAGGAATGCTGGGCCTGTGTGTGTGGCAGGCAATCTGCAGGCACCCGTTCCGGCCCTGTCGATTAGCAATGCATGCAGTGTGATCGCTTGGTGCCCGTGCGTGGTCCAGATTTGCCGCACCGTGAAATCTATATGGTTCTTGTTGCAAGGGATGGTTCGAGCGTGACGGGCCTGCTTTCCACCACCACCACCAGAAGTTGGAGGGGGCAAGGAGGCGGAGGGTGAGGAGGAGAAGGAAGGAGATGAGGGGGAGGAGGACCCCCTATCCCCCCTCCAACTTCTGGTGGGGGTGGTAGAAAGCCGGCCCATCCGAGGGAGTTGGCATTGCACACGCCAGGCAATATGCTGGCCCACCCCCCCGCCGTCCCCGCCAAAAACCGTCAAGCAGTGGCGAAGCGTCCTGGCGTGCCTACAGGCCTACCAAACAATGTTCTAAGAACCTGTTGTGGTTCCCACGACATGTTCTGATAACCTTTCTGGTTGGGACTGTCTTGTTTTATCACACCGTTCTAAGAATGAATTGGGTTCGAAAGACACGTCGTGGTAGGCCTACAGGAGTGCCGGGGCGGTCGATCCCTGCCCAGAGCCGGTGCAGGATGATCGCGGGGCGCCCGCGCAGGGTCCGGATCTCGGTGCAAACGTGCCATTTGTACAGGTATTGCCGGTGCTGACGCTGCAGGCGGCATGCCGCCCCCCCCCCCGCCCCGCCCCTGACAGAGAACCCAGTGCCCAGTGTCGTTTCACCAATCCCCATCCCCATCCCCATCCCCATCCCCATCCCCTTCGAGACCCCCACCAATTTGCCGCCCCAGCTGGGGAGACACCCCCCAAAGTCAGAAGGGAACGGCCTACATCCCCATGTAGGGGGTGAATCGAAAAGTGCGCCAGTGGATCTCCCTGAATACACTAGGGGGGGGAGGTCCAGAACCCCTCCCCCCCTTCAAAGGGGGGGGGGTCCGGACCCCCCCCCCCCCCTCCCCCCATTAAAAGGCGGGGGGGTACCGAACCCCCCCCCCCATACCCTTGAAGGGGGGGGGGGTCCGTGAC